AAGGGCAAGATGCAGTCTCGTTACAGGAGTGGCACCAGTCATTATCAGTTCATTCTGGTTGACAGGGAGAAGACCGGTTGTGAAGCGATTGTGGCCTACTTTTGCACATGCGAGGCAGGAGCGCGCACTGTCGGATGCTGCAGCCATTTGATGTGCATCATTTGGTACCTGTCGTACGGACACAATCATCCCTACGTTATTCCAAACGAGAACTTATGTAATATGACTTTAAAAATCGCTAATTAATCAGATAAATATGCTTCATTTGAGTCATATTTTATAATGATGAGCTGGTGGCTCCATCTACCGGAGTTGGTACCTTTATAGCCCGTTTTCTCTGCAACGGTAAAAGTCTATATCTTGACACCTATATATTCGTAATCAGCTCAACGAGATCTTTAATTTGATACCAAGTTTGACTATAAATTCAACGGCCTAAAAAATGGGGCACATCTTGGCCGCACTCTTTATTTTTTATATAAAAAATGAAAATATGGATATGGAATACGAAAATATATCTAGTGAAAAAATCAGTGAATCATGACTCCTCATCACCCCTTGACATAAAAAAGGACTATCTCCAATGTGAGCATGAATACAATAGTCATGTTGAGTCTAGAGTCATGAAGGAGGAAAGGCACATGATGATTTTAACCACTGATATAACAAGCTGTCAAACCAACAGCCCACACTGCTAAATCTTTGACTCCCACACCCAAGTTAACTCATTTCTTAGTTTTTCTTGTCAATCCCAGGACACAAGTGTATTCACAGGTTTGACACATTCCATGGGCATTGTACACAACAATCCCTGAGTAGTGGCAATTGTATTGTATTGTTTGTAAATCGTGTATTATTTCAGTACTTCTGGTGTGGTCTGGAATGATATGAGATATGTGGTCTGGAATGATAGGTGCCTGGTGCACAGTAGCAAAAAAAACATGGAAGTTACAGGGTGGATCAAAAGTTCTTACAATGCTTTAAAAGTGTTTTTCTCTATCAGACCTTTAGCTTTCCATAAACGGATTGCACCATTGAAAAGAGCACAAAAAAATCATCTAGAAAAGTATCCTTTTATTCTATATAGCCCCCCATTTGCCTCTACTACACGCTTGAGATGCTTTGGAAATTCATCAACCACATTTCATAAGTATTCTTCAGGCATTTCATACCATATGCACTTCAAATGTAGCTTGAGTGAAGTAAGACTTGTCCTCAATTTAGGCATCAGTTGGGACTCCATGTATGATCAGATACTGTAGTCAAGGGGATTAAGATCAGGGGAAGATGCAGGCCAATCTGATGGTGAGAGGAATGATGGAGTGTTGTTTTGGAGGAAGGTGAGAGTCTTTTTTTATTTGTGTGCAGGTGCACTGTCTTGTTGGAACACAAAGGGCCTACTTTTGAAGTGAGTCTTGGACCAGGGAAGGAAAACTTTCTCTAGGACTTCTTGAACATAGTATAGTGCTATGTTCAAGAAGTCCTGGTCCAAGACTCACTTCAAAAATAGATGGCCCTTTGTGTAAAAAAAGACTAACCTTCCTCCAAAACAACACTCCATTATTCCTCTCACCATCAGATTGGCCTGCATCTTCCCCTGATCTTGATCCCCTTGACTACAGTATCTGGTCATACATGGAGTCCCAACTGATGCCTAAATTGAGGACAAGTCTTGCTTCACTCAAGCTACATTTGAAGTGCATATGGGATGAAATGCCTGAAGAATACTTATGAAATGTGGTTGATGAATTTCCAAAGCATCTCAAGCATGTAGTAGAGACAAATGGGGGGCTATATAGAATAAAAGGATACTTTTCTAGATCATTTTTTTGTGCTCTTTTCAATGGTGCAATCCATTTATGGAAAGCTAAAAAAAGCTATAGAGAAAAACACATTTAAAGCATCATAAGAACTTTTGTTCCACCCTGTAAAGGGCAAGGAAAAAGTATACCTAAGCATCAAATCAACGGGTTGATGTTCTGTGCTATACTTGAGCATGTCTCAGGAGAAGTGCAGAGTGATTATTCTAAAGAAGGATCTTAAAGGGTTTGGATGATTATTTCTAGCATGAAATGTCCACTCTTTTGAAAAGATGGCATTACTCATATATTTAGCTATCAGAATTTACTAAGTGAAAAGATTAACCTTAAAATTAATCATTGTTGATTGTAGATGAAGAACTGAAAAGAATAAGCAGTAAAAAAAAGTTCTTGGAAGAAAAGGCATTTAAAATAGATTTTTACCGATGAATTTTATAATACCAAATATTCATAACATTTTTCCATACATTTAACTTGAAATATTATTAGGGATCTTGCCATGCATCCTGGACCCAAAAGTTACACCAAACTTACAAGGAGAAGTCACTCTGCTTCAGGAGGCCAAAGATTAGCAGTGCACAGGAGCAAATTGGCCAGGCAGCACAAGAGGATTTCCAACAAGGCAGGATAAAGGAAGGAATGGAGGGGGGGAATGATGAAGAAACTCCTGTCCAATTTTCACCACAGCTATGGAACAGAGCAAACAGCTTCTTCCCCTAACATGTATTTTCTTCAATTTTACTGTATGCTTCTGGCAACCATGATATCTACTGGCCAACAAGTAGAATGCTAGATTATTTTCTCTAACACTAAGTCACCCACTATGGAGAAAGCACCAACTGATACTTTTACTACCCAATAAAAATGCCCTCATAACCCTTTTTTTTCTTAAATCTGATGAAAGCAAACAGAAATCTTAAATAAGAATGAGTCAGGATGGAAGGGGAGAGATATGTGAAAGAGACGGAAAAGGTAAAAGAAATCATATGAAGCATGAGAACATTCCCCCTCCCCCCTTACTCTTCCTAAAGGAGCAGACCTGTAAAGCCTGGAATTCAGTCTCTTCACGACGGCGCTTCTTCTCTCTTTCCCTTTTCATGCTCTCCCATTCCCTCCGTTCCAGTTCTTGGGCCAGGTACCCATCACGCAACACCTACAAACACCCGCACAATCCACTTATTCTTTTCATGATTGTGCAAGCGTGGAGAGGAAGAAGTGGATTTTTCTTTCGCTCCTTAAAAAAATACTACCCTCTCAGAACCACAACAGGGAGAAATTGATAATGGATTTTTGCAGCCTGTTATATATCTCTCAACACAATTGTCAATTGTCATGCAAGTATAATACATGGATCAAGTCCAGCAAAAAATTAAGGGTGAACAAAGTCCATCTAGTTGTAAACCTTTCAAGAAAGACTTGATCATGCCAGCAATGGTGTTTTTCACCTGGCATCAATCATGTGGCCTGTTCTTGGGTGCATTTACATAGGTCTATATCCTAAGATTTATAGGAAAAAAATTTTTAAATGCCTCTGCTTCCAGCTTCATTGTCAAATTACATCAAGATAAATCCCCTGGTTTGCTTGCATTGTAAAGTCAAAGCCACTTCAATCAAATGCTGGTACAATATACAATATCTTTACATGCAATAAAATAATTAAAACAAGTTCCTGTATATTTGCAAAGAGAAGAGGAGAAATGTAGGCAAAGGTGACTGACCTGATCTTCTGATTGATCATTGTTTTCAAAATGAGCATTCACATGCTCTGACATTTCCTTGGATGACTCAAAGGCAGACATTCCACAAATAGGGCAAGTAGTCACCAAGGATTCCAAAGATGATGCAGTTGATACCCCTGGTGTGTTCTAGAAAACAACTGTTATAAATACCAACAAATTGTACTGCAATGAATGATCTTAATGATTAACAGTAACTTTGACTGAACACTTCCTGTCCATTAGCATAAAAACCTTTCAAGCATAGGCACTTGCTCAGTTTGCTTTTTACTTTTTCTTCTAACATGACTTTGCAGTCCCTTAAATATGATCAAAAATCTGATAATATTGTAGAGAGACTTGAAAATGCATTGAAGTACCAATATTGACCATTGCTGACAATGAGTCTGTAGGATCTGCAAAGGAGTTTGCTCAATTTTGGATCCTAAACTGATTTCAAAGATATGTGCATATTTCGAGAGGGTGTCCTTAGCCAAACCTAAAAATATCATTTGTTTTCAAATCTGAGCAATTTGAAAATGTTGGGTTAGGTTAGGTTGGGTTTGCCCTTTTTTGCCCTTAAATCGATTTTGATGAAATTAATATTTATGCAATCGGTTTCACTTGTGAACATGACATGTATCATTTTTATTTGAATGTGAAAGGTTTAAAAAAAAGGTAGGTTAGGTTAGGTTAAATTATTTTACTGTTTTAAAATGGGACTTCCAATAAATGTGTTCTGCATCATCAAAAACATAGAAAGAACATCATTTTGGAAGTAATAGGTGAACCTTAGCAGGAAACTGGAAAATCTAGCAAAAAATTTTGAATGCATGATTCATTATATAAAAGTTTATGATGTGAAGATACATAGCACATTTTAAGAAATACAATTAAATTCCATTTTAATTTTGATTTTTCTTGGTAGTCTGCATTTCCCTTCCCTCAAAATTTAATCCACACTGTATCCACATTGGAAGTATGTGTTCTGATGAAAAACTCATGCAAAATAACTTCATTGTATACTAACCTAACCTAACTTTTTCAAACCCTTCAGATTAGAGTATAAGTGATTTTTTATTACTCTGCAAATAGCATCCTTTCAAATAATATAAGATTAATTGAATTCAGTTTAAGGGTCAAAATAGCATTATATTGGACATCCTCCTTTACTATCCCTTGATAGTTGATAACAGGGAAAAAATATTAATTTCAGGGTTGTAGGCTTACTATTTGGGTAATTCATTTTCTGGAAAAGGTATGAAGTTTGTTACATATAATATCTCCATTAAATAAGGTTCATGCATGATAGGACGTGATATTACAATGGAAAAACAAACAAGTCATAATTTGAGTTTCTTGGTTTTATGGCTGTCCCATTCTTTTGCACAGATTGTATAAACAAATACTTTTCAAGAATCAGCTTCATTTCTCTACAATATAAACACCCCTCCCAACAAAATTAGAGGACCAAAACAAAATGGAAAAATTTTAACAGAATGAAATCCTTGAAAATATTTTGATTTCTGTTCACTTTAAGAATTGCCAACGTAAACTAAGTCATCCTGTCCTTGTTTGACTGATACAGCTATACATTTATACAGTACCAACATCATCATAATAACCAGTAAAACCTAATGATACTAAGGCTGTGTGCCTTCAACCTAAGACCAATTTTGAAACATTTCATCCTGGCCTTGAGGCATCTAGTCCTGCATAGTGCCTCAATCCAACAGCACCATCCAGTGTATATGAATCAAATGTAATGGCAACAATATCCTGGAGATGCATTAACCCTTCCACTGCTATGCAAAAAAAATATCTGCCATTCTCCCAGTATTATAAAAACTGGAACTGTTAACCTGAAAACAATGGTTTAGGTTTAAAATGTATATCATGAAAACTATTGAAGACAGTGGTTACATGCATTTACAGCAGAGAAATAACCCATAAACTCCATGTTAGACCTGGATGACATATTGCTTAGAAGGAAATTATCTCAAATTTACCAATCATGTCAATACTGTGCCCCAAAATTTTTGCAATGAGATGAAAAAAATTGTTTGTTGAAAACCATCAGGAAAAAATGCATCCAATTGCCTTTTCTGCCCAAAGAAAAGGAGATAGCACTTTCTCTTTTGGTCATGTCAGTTCCTCCAATCTTTCCTATGCAATGACAGTGTGCAGTTCATTTAGGCAATCATATATTTTCACTGCAAAGCTGATTTGTACTGCTTTTTCATGCTTTCTTATTCAGATTATTCCTGGTGACCAAGAAAAATGAATAATCAAAATTGTATTTTTACTGTCTATCTCTACCATTGGTCAACAATGCAAATAAACTTGTTTCATTAGAATTCTATTCAATATTGAATTCTCAACTAAAAATTAAATATTGACAAATAAATAAAAAAAACAATAATCTTTAAATGTAGTGAAATCATTGACTGGGATTTGGGAGCCCAGAGCAGAAAATACTGGAATGACAAAGGAAATTAAGAACTAAACTGTCTATGTCTTGTTGGGTTCACTTTCATTCCCAAGCATAGTAGTCTTGGGTGACAGCAAGAGGGCTCTGATATCATTTCACATTCTAACAAGATTCCATGGGAAGGTGAGCAATCAAGTCACAAGTACTCTCACATTAAGAAATTTTGAAAACTAAAAATCAAATCAAATCAACTGAGACTTTGTAAATTGTCTCACATGGCATGGGCTGAGGATGCTCACATGAGCACGCTCCACATGTTCTTCAAGCACATCGAATGAGTCTAAGTTCACCGAACAGATGGGACAAGTCATGGACCCTTGAAATTCCTGTCCACCTTCTCCACTTTCATTCTGCTTGTCACATTCATTGCCCCTGAGGGCAAAGTGAAAATTGTTCATGTGCTGCTCCAGAGCTTTAAAGGAGTACCCAGGGGCATTGCAGATGGGACATGCAGAAACTGCTTCTTCAGAAGATCCAGTAGAGGAAGAGGAAGAGGGAGCTGTCAATATGACAAGATTATTGGATGCACCATCACCAGACACATAAGAAGTCTTAGATTGAATTGCAAGAATGGAGAGGTCAGGGCTGCTTCCATGTTGTGATGTTTGTGGCTCTTCCTTGGTATCTCCAATGGCCTGAACTGTGAAGGTAGCCAGGAGTCAATTTAAGAATGGAAATAATCAAAACCTTTGGTAAATTCATTATTGAAAATTCAGTAGTAATTAGTAATAATTAATACTTTTTTCTAACCTCATGTCCCATATTCACACAGCAGTACTTTTCACATTTCCTTCTGATCTAATAGACTAATTTTATAGGCCTATAACATTTAGAAATTCAATCCCATCACAACCAAATAAACAGTTCGAGTGCCTTGATATTGCTGCAGAGGTGACTGAGCTGTGCAACCAAATGACATTCACCACAAATTTACTTGGGAAAGTTGGGTCATTAGATGTTGGTATTTACCAGTTTTCACTTCTTTCCAAGTCTCTAGAGAATTTTTCCCCAATGGGTTTTAAAGAACTGAGATATTTTTTAGAAATATGCTCAATGATAAAGATCTATAACATTTCAAACTGTACCATGTTGGATGCTGAATAAAACAAACACCATTCAATTTTTCTCGTCAACTTGAAGGCTGATACAAAGAGGGTTTGGAAATGAGAGAAAAGAAAAATCAATTTACAGCAAAAGAATTATAATATTCAATTCAGTTCAATATTTTTAAGATTCATCCAAGAATCACATCTCCTTGTTAAAATAGATCTGCTGAAGAGTCTGGGGATAGTAGCATCCTAGAAAATGGTACAGTCCATCTTTAGCAGTGCCAATTGAGTTGATGCTCCATTTGGTCACAATCAAGCAATTTCCTTGAAGCTACATAGATAAGGCCACTGGTGGCAAGGAATCCATGTCCCTTCTAACACAGACCTATCTGGCAGAAACTTTTCTCTATCATTCCTGGTATTCTCATATTAATCAGGAGAAATAAAGTTCATTAATTTATTCCAATACTTTCATTTGCCATTCTGAAGTAAGCTTAGGTTAAGGCACAGAAAGACTGTCCAAGCATTTCATGTATTTTGCACACCCTCACCTTCCCTGTGAACCAGCCCAATGCATACCAGTGAAGTGCCCAGGGACCCAAGCTACACTGGTGTCCCCTCCCATCACTTCAATGTAGGGAGGGAACATAACATTGCACAGGATATATGTAGGGGAGGTCTTTGAGTGCAAGATACTGTCTGGAAGAGGGGTAGGAAAGAGATGTAAAATGATCCTCAGACCCAAAGGACAAGCAACAAGCAGATTAGGACCTAGGGCATGTGTGCCTAGTGATGTCACCATCTCCTGCTGTTATCCTTGCCCATCCTCCAATGTCTTACATCACCATCTTTAAAAAATATTCCATGACTAGCCTTCTATACTTCATGGACTTTATTGACAGCTATTAGACCCAGAAATTATCCATGATGACACAAAAATACATAACTATAACAACAAAAAGAAGCATCTAGGAGCTCAATATTGGACATAGATGTTTATTAGCTTTGGACCGCAATGGGCTTGTCACTTCTCTGGATCACACTTGGCCAAGCTTACAGGTGGACCCTTTGCATAAATAGACTGTGCCATGGATACAATAACAATAAAGTCAATAAGGGGAAAGTTAAACCTAGTCTTTGTGCATATTACATGGATAGTTGTGAAATGATGCACTGGATAAAGCCATCAAAAGGATGGTATTGACAAAACAGAGCATACCCTTCTGGCCTACTGCTAAGTTACTGGAAAATTTCTAATAAAGTGAAGGATTCTGATGCACATCTAGCATGGTCTTGCACTGCTGTCTATGCCCTGCTTTAATCACCTTTTCTTCACTATATCTCATCCCCTTCTCCCTGAACCATGTTTAGGCCAGCAGTGTTTATTCACTGGACTCAGACACTAAAGAATGGGACATTTCCCTTGCATGAGACAAGTGGAAAGATGTCTGACTCAAGTGAAAGACACTGTACTATCTTTCTCTACTTGAGATAACACCTGAAACTCTAACATCTCCAACCCTTGGGGGCTGAATTGACCTTTTAGGTCCACTTAAGCCTAACTACAGTTACCACAAAAAATTGCCTAAATACTAATAAATTCAAGACAACCTGGGGCTTGTAACGATGGTTTTGATACGTTGGAAGGCAATTCGGTGATTTTAGCAGAGGAATGCGAGTCAAGTTCTCGACTTCTCGATGGACACCCTGCACCCATGTTGCTCCGAGCACTGCATGTCTGCATGACCTTTTCATAGTTCTCGATGCCAGTGGTTAGGCCCCCCTCAAAGGAGGTACATGGAAGGTCATCAGGCAGAGCGTCTGCAATTGCACGACGACCACCTCCTCTCAGATTACTCTTCTTCCCTCCCCTGAAATCCTGCGAATTACTGCCGCCTGACATCTGGCTTTCATAAAACAGAATTTCTTCAGTTGATATAACCTCCGGACAGACGCGAAAAGTACTGCATCCAATTTGTACTTGAGCACTGATCTTGGTCCACTGTGAATTTCCATCCAATCTGGAATCTACATAAGGCATCGATCAGCGTAACCTGAACCTGGTACGATAGACATATCGAAAGAGATCTCATGAAGAAAAAAGAAAATGCAATAGGGTTTGTTGGATCTCATTACTATATATAGGCCTTGGTTCACTTCGGGGTTTCAACGATGTCTGTGACTGCTGTGATGTTCGATGCCTCCTCGTTGAGGGCACAGCTGATGCTGATGTCGGATGCGACCCTGGATAAACAAGGTCCGGGCAGGTCATCACGCAGGCGCGATATTGGTTCACTTCTTCCCAATCCCTCCCGCTTCCGAAATTGCTATTTCCAATTAATTTGTACGGAATACAGAAGATACGCGTTTCCCGTGTACTTAGCCTCTACCTGCACCTTGCTGAAGCAGGATATGCTGACATGACGGAGAGCAAGCTAGGCTAGGCCTGCAAATGACACGAGTGTCGATTTAATTTACCCTTGCTCGTTATGAATTCCTTAGATTAGTATAGCAAAGTTATATCCCTACTGCAGGAAGACTCACCATGATTTATAAACATTTCATAAGGAGTACAGAAACACAAGACATAATGTTGTAATATATTCAGGGCCGACCATAACTAAAATATTTCGGCGCCCTGTGCAAAGAGACGGGAGAGGCACGTTGGCAAGAAACTCCTGCCTCTCTCTCTCTCAGAGCGAAGAGGCGTCAATCCCTAGCATCCAAAATGACGCTAAAACGGAACGCATTTCCACTTTCTGAAGGAAAACTGCGGGTGGCATCCATTATTGATTCATTAATTCTGACAAGTTTTGGCGTCCCTGGTGAATTTGCGCCCTTTGAGGGGGCACATTGGTACATGCCTAAGGCCGGCCCTGGTTGTATTCATCCTCCTCGAAAAAAATAAAAATAAAAATAAAATAAAATAAACTAATGCAACACAAGCACAGAACTTATGTTTTTTTAAGAAAAATTTTCTAGTGCCTCTTCCCCTGAATTGGAATTATTTCATTATTTTCAACCTGACCTGAAAGAAAGACTTGCACACTTTATTCATCAGATCAGAAGTATGGCTGGTATGGTATCACGTGACGGCGATCAGCCAATGGGAAGCCACAGTTGGCGGCATCCCCGCATACAAAAGCTGTCTAGACCTTGTTTATCTAGGGCCTTGGGCTGCGACTACTCACATTGCGACCTTTGTGATATCATCAGGAAGTGAAGAGTTCCCTGACTTCAGATGACATGGGACGCACTCATCTCTGCAGTCGATGAGCTAGAGTGATTTTACTTTTAACTAATACCACCTTTAACATGGGCCATGCAAGGTCGATGGGAGGTCGTCCAATCTACTCCATTGGCGCTCTCTTCGCCATGATAGAAACGAAATATTGTAGAGATGGAGAGTGCTTCATTTATAGAGAAGTAAGATCCAGAGAGATATACTTACTCACTGTAAGTATATCTCTAGTATATAAAGGGCAGCGATTCCCAGACTTCTTTGAATCATGACCCACTTGCTGACGTACAGAAAATTTCGCGACCCATGAGTCCAGAACGAGGTTTTTCAAAGTAATTATGACGTGAAGAAAACTGATCAACCGTTTCTGCAGGGCATGTTTTATCCTAAGCGGATGCGGATGGTATTTTTTATACTGGGAAAATCTACGCGACCCACCTTGATGCCACTCGCGACCCACAGTTTGGGAACCGCTGATATAGGGTATGTCTAAGGAGCTTGCATCTCTGCATATTTATTGGTTGCAATATTTGACTTTAAAAGTCTTAATTTCTAGGCACATACAAAAGCATCATCAGTTTCTTACCAAATATTTTGAAAGCAAGTAGTGGTAAATAATAAAATGTAGGACAGCGAAGAACAGAAGCTGAGCTCTGGTGCTATTTCGAGGAACTGCACAGCTCAAATTAGGCACTGAGATGTCCGTCCAACCATAGACGCCGACTTCTAAAAAATATCGGGAGGCAAGGTCCTACTGCCCCTGACATAACACTGACGGAATCGTACCAGGATCCAGTGGGGTAGCTCACTATTATTATAGCAGTTGCGTGACGAGAGAGGGGGGGGGGGGTTTCTGGGCATGAAGAGGGCCAAGGGTCCTCGCCCTTCCACCCTATACCCTTAGGTGGTGACGGGATCTCTCGGAACTCTGAACAGTTAGGAAAATCATATTTGAAGGAGGAAAAGGTCTGTGAAGGATGATGTCAGAGAATTTGAGAAGTTGGCCTTCAGTTCAGTTCATTTCAGTTCAGATGGGGGACGAGGAAGTTTCAAGTGGTGGGAACGTAGTTCTTGGCCATCATTCGACAGTTCAAGGGAAAGACGATCTGTTCAATTTGGAAGGAAGCTTTGAGAAAGGTCTCCTCGCGTCCTTAAATAGGCGAGTGCATTCATAAGCGACGATTTCAGTAACTCGAAGAAGGCACTGGAAAAGTTCTCCGTTCATTAGAATTAAACTCGTAGGGCTGATCTACGCGCGAGAAGAGCGTTATTGATTATTTTCTCAATTTATAAGATACTTGGACGGGATCAATTAGGGAAAAACCGAGTCGCAAAGTGTCTCTAATAGGGTAGTAGTGCACTGACACTCTAAGTACTCTGTTATTGGGTTGTGATGGAATGGAATTTGTAAATGTTCTAGACCTAGTCTATTTGGCCAAAATAGAATGTGGAAAATACTGTTGCGTAAATATAGAACATGAGCTCATGACAAAAGTAAAAAGTACAAAGTACAGTCGACTCCGGATAATCGAATACCACTTAAAGGAATACTACGCTTAATGAATACCATTTTACGGTCCCGATTTTTCAACCATAAGGTACATCGCATAAAGGAATACGGTTATTAGAATAACCCGTTTAAAGGAATAAACTTTCCTGAAATATAGAATAATATTTTTCACTTCATTGTAAAACGAAATGCTTATTTTTCCCATTCGCGTTCTTGGAAAGTCTCCTCCGGCCTTTCTCCAAGACACCCATCCTCCCTCTTCGTAGAACCAAGGTCACGAGTCAAATGTAATTTGTAGTACAGTTGACTCCGCTTAAAGGAATACTCACGGGACCAGCGAACTTTATTCTGTAATCCGGAGTATTCCAATAACCGAATTAATCGAACTGTGCGTCTTCTTCGTACTTCAGACAACTTTTAAAATGCACGGTCTATAGTACAGTACCCGTAATAGCGCATTCGCCGATTGATTGATGATGCGTTTTCCACAATACAATATTTTGCTACTTTGTTTTAGATGATCTTGGAAACTTGAGACAGAGGTCCCTAACCGCCGGGACAATTCAGCTTGCGTCTTCTTTTCATATACGAGGTAGATGGGTATTCGGAACCACGGTCTTTCCGGCCAAGCTGAGGTATTTCCTTTTCCCCATGGTCAACTCGAAATGTGCAGATTTGATGCCTTTAGGCTCAATATGTAGTCCAGGTAAAATAGCTTTAACTTTCGCCTAAAAAGGGCAGGCTTGGCTCTTTTCCACATCTGCAGTCTATATATACACCCCAAATTCTAGGAAAGGGTGTCCTTGCCTTCCCTCGGTTCACGGAAGAGTCAAGTGGGAACTCGTGACCTTGGTTCTACGAAGAGGGAGGATGGGTCTTGGGGAAAGGCCGGAGGAGACTTTTTAAGAACGCGAATGGGAAAAATAAGTATTTCGTTTTACAATGAAGCGAAAAAAAAAATTATTTCATATTTCAGGAAAGTTTATTCCTTTAAACGGGTTATTCTAATAACCGTATTCCTTTATGCGATGTTTTTCATAATGTACCTTATGGTTGAAAAATCGGGACCGTACAATGGTATTCCATTAAGCGCAGTATTCCTTTAAGCTTTATTCGATTATCCGGAGTCGACTGTACCACTGAATTTACCAATGGTTTTATTTCCATGCCATATATACCACCATCGAAGCCATCGAAGATACCAGGGAAGGGTCACAAATCTCACGACATGGAAGTAGCTTTTATTTCTCCGTTCTCGTAATTCGACTTGAGACCAGTAATGGTTTCCAATAATGTATTACATAATTATGTTATAATATGTATATAATTTTGTTCTTTGCTGAAAAGGAATAGGAATACATAGATTCCTCATGACAACTAGGAATTCAAAAATGGGTTTCATTAAATACTTTTTGGCAAGAATTGTGAATTCATATTTTTGAGGAATGGTTGTAACACTTCCTATCAGGGCTTACAAAATCAGGTCCCTCCGCTGTGGCTTACAGAGAATTTTCTAGAGTAAGTCTCACTCTTATTACGATAGCTTTCAGAATGGGTGTCAAGCAGATTTAATCTGACTGGTCGTACTTGTGGCCAGGAAGCATAAAAATGATACCGATTTCATCAATTTATAATCCATTCATCCATTTAAAATTTAGTCAGACGCGAAGCAATTAACTCCATCTTGATATGCGATGACAGTGCACAATATACTAACAAACGTATTCATACACCCAAGTAAGCACTCAGAAGACTTCTGGCTTGGCGGTGATCTCGTCGAGAAGCCTCTTTTCGACCTGTGCGTGCAGACCGACGTTTTCCAAGGGGAGATTGCAACTGAGGAACACCTGTTTCCCCAGGCGCCGGGTCAGGCGAGCTGCCATTGCCATGGAGACCACACAGGAATGATTGCCGAGAAGTTTGGTCGCGATCGGCTCGCCAGTCCCCGTTGCCATGGCAACGGCAAGATCACCTAGGGCTGGGCGAGGCCCAACGCCTAGCCACAGGAGGAGGCTGTCTCGCATCCGCAGCACGTAGTAATGCACAGGATCCGGTTGGAAGGGTTCCGTGAACGTGTGGATCGTGATTCCCGGACTTGGGGATCGGCTCTCATTCACCATACCTCCACTTCGTTTCTTTCTTCTGTTCAGATATAATCGAGTGCATAACTCAACAACTTAGTATGTCACCAGCGTCTTAAAGGGGCAGTTTTGCATTTGGGTTTGTTTCATTACACAGGCTGTATGGAAAGTCACTACATATTTAAAAATTGTAATAACTTTTGTAATTTTTGGAGTAGAACATTGGTTTTTGTGCCAAAAGAAAGAGAATTCAATAGGGCTGTATGATTTCATCGATTTGTTAGCTTGAAATAGTCCTCCATGGTGCCAAAACTGAATCTTCGACACCGTGCGGAAATTGCTGCATGGTATTTGAAGTGTGGGGCGGAGAAGATGGGGAGTTGTATCCAAATCATTCTCCTTCCATCATCACCACATCATGACGAAGGGCTACGGTATGAGGTGTGGAGGTCCTCCATCATGGTCCAGAGGTGGTTGTGGAACGAGAATGATTTGGATACAACTTCCTATCTTCTCCGCCTCCACACTTCATACCGTGTAGCTATTTGCGCACAGTGTCGAAGATTCAATTCTGGCACCATGGAGGGTTACTGCAAACAAAACAAATCAATGAAATCATAAAACCAAATTGAATTCGCTTTCTTCTGAAACAAAATCCATTATTTTAGTCCAAAAATTGCAAAAGTTATTACAATTTTAAAATATGTAGTGACTACACCCTGTATTTCTCACTTTAAATGATTCACTCGGCTCAATGTCGCTTGATTAATCCTACATTCCATAATATGCATTCAAAGCAAAGTCTCAGTTTTCGTGCCGTAATAGCCTTTATCAACCGTGTTCATGACAATACACGGTATGGCTTCGAATCAACAAGTACAAGCTTCTGTAATTCAGATAGGCAATTAGAAGATTGCATAATAGGCAGTGCTCAGTGGTGTAGTATTTTTGCTCATGAGTCAAGGGGGCTGCCAAGGACGTGGCGGGGGGGGGGGGGGGGGGAGATGGTAAGAGAAAGTTCTTGGTGGCGAAAAGAAATCGAAGAAGCGCTAGGCACCATCATGGACTACTAGGGGGGCAGCTCCCCCTCCCCCCACACAATACGCCACTGACGGTACTTCGTGTTATCCATTATGGTTGCCAAAAGTTTTTCTTTTAAATACCAATTGTTATTAAAGGTTGAGACATAGACTACACGCATGCGCTAACTGCGAAGCCACGTGACGTTGTCAGTACCAAGTCCACTCCCTAATACAAAAACTGACTACAACAACGTGATTTATTTGTATTTAGCATCCTTTACGTTCCGCAATTATTACCTTTCTCGTTATTTTGCTGGTAATTGCAACAGGACGAGCAATTCAGATAAACATCGAAAGACCAATATCACGATGAGCGAAAACAGGCCGTTGAGATGTTTTCCCCTTTTCTTCATCAGTTATATTCAGTTGCAGACTCATAAATTGTCTCATAGTTGATTGAAACTCAGTAAACTCAGTATTGCAATCTGAACAAGACCAAAGTACAGTATAAGACGTTTGGAATTTTCCTTCGTTGCAGCCTTATTTACCAGCATAACATTGCCTTTGTCTAGTTGAGTGTGGTTAACATGGAAAAGGCACGCTGATCAGACCGAATGAATGAGAATTATCTGAATGATGGAAGCCAGGGCCGGTGTTGCCAAAATAGAGAGGAATATTCAGAGGAATCAAGCAACTGTTTGACCAGGTATTGACCCATGGGTTGCTACTTGTGAACAGTATAAAACTTTCGTTGCATTCCCGATCTTGTTTTTCTTGTTACTTCATTTTTATTACTCCCATCTCATCTCGTCAGAATTTAGGTAAATGAATTCTTCGAATTCCCGAGATTTCGTCTATAACAAGCGTTAACGAATTTTATCCTGCCTAATTGATTGGCGACTATCAAAGACTACTTTAATAACTGAATGGATTTTGTCGTATTTGCTGTACACGGGGACTCAGGAAATGGGTTTAAACATCACACAATGAATTAAAATGAGCTAATTTCGGGGGCATTCCGCTGGCTAACTGAATGAGGACTCCGTGAGACAAGACTCAAATAAAAGTATAAACTTCAACAGTTTAGTGTCATGCATAGGAAACAAGTGCCAGGAAAGCATAAAATACCATCGGAATGCATGTTGTGGAGAAGCACTTCCCAGCGATAGATTGAGAACTGACAACGTCATGTCATGTCAAGGTTGGCGCATGCGCTAAGTCGATATCTCTCTGAGAAAATAAAAGCAAAAGCAGAGCTGAGTGAATGCCGCATACTCCTTTAACGATAGCCCTTCATAAACCGCACTGAATCCAAGCTGGGGTTCTGTCCATCCTATTTTATCAAGGAGAATATGAGTTCATCAGATACCAACTAATTCAGAAATGTTCTCAAACTTATTTATAGGGTTTTATTTAACTGTGCAATTGCAGAAAGCAATCAGCGCAACAAGGCCTTACTTTCTGGAGGGTTCACCCAACATGCTGCCTGCTGGCACCAGAAGTGGGATTCTTTGAATCGGCAAAGGTGCTGCAAGCGGAACTCCCCCTCCCCTTCGCGATTTCGAGTGCCTTTTTAGACCAGGGGGTTCAGACCTTCAGAACCACTTCCCTTGGTTGAACTAATACATGAGCAATTTGCTCAAGTTTACTATAGCTATACTTTACTGTACAGCTACTCATCTGCCGTCTCAGATTGATCAGTTTGAATCAAGGGTTTTCACAAATTCAAGGTGACACATGTACAAGTATCAATAAGTTCTTTTTTCTTTCTCTCTCTTTAACTTGTACAATAACGCTATTTCAACTGCCTTAAATATTTGGTTCCAACTGCCTCAAGTGAGAATGTATTGTAGCCCTAAAATGAAATGTTTTTCACCTCTGTCTTCGCAGTTCTCTTGAAATAACATCAGATTAAACTACACATAATCTCTTCAGGCAGCAATGTCAATGATAGAAGGATATGGAAGAGTAAATTTTGAAATGAGTGAAGTCCCTTATTCTTAATCCTTCCTGTGATGGTTTCTACCACCGCCATCAACTTCTGGAAAACATAAGACAAAGTTTATGGGAATTCCATATCATGTTGTCCAACCTTGGTTCAAAAAAGGTCCACAACACTGCAGCAAATATATGACACAGCATATACACTGCAGTACATTCTTACATTAACTTTTGCATGTCTGAAAGAAGCCTCATGATACACCTATTACATCCTGAATGAAGAAACTTCATTCACTTTGAGAACACGAACCTCTAAAAAAAAATTTTTAATAAAACATTTTCAAAAATGCAATGCTGTATCAAATCAAAATTTCCAAGGAAATTCAAATTAATTTCAAGAAAATGCACTTGATCATTGTTGGGGGGCTCTCTACATACCAGAATTGGATGGATTGAGAAGCCAGTTGAGATTCTCACAGGCCTTCAGCTCAGTCACTGAAATTCTCAAGACAATCTATTGTGAATAAAATTCCTAGGTTTCAGGCACCCATACATGCCCTAAAGAAGTCTGAAAAATGAAAAATTCAACATAATTTATTCAAGCTTGAGCTAAAATCCACACACAAGATTCAACGTTTCTCTTTTGTCTTCTTTCTCTTCCTCTTGTTGCGCCTGCAATCCATACTTGAGTCACTGTCAGAGGATTCTGATGAAGTCTCTGAACTGTCTGACGATTCTGAGCTGTCTGAAGTGTCTGATAATGAACTGCTACTTGAGGAATTTACCTTCTGTTTCTTCTTCTGCCTTTTCTTGACAATAGGGGAGAAGCTCTGCTTAGCCTTCTTCTTGGGCACAGCAGTGTCTCCATCCCCTTTATGAGACTGCTTGTGACCACCACCACGGTGTCGATGACTTTGAGATAGATCATCAGTAGACTGCTGACAATCACCCAGAGATTGGCCTCTCTTGTTGAGACAACTGCTTTTTCTGGGAAAATCTGTTCTACTTTCCTTTGCTGAATTGCCCATTTCCTTCCAAGATGATTGTCTCTCATCCCTTGAAGATTTTCTCACCTCTTTTTGCATATTACTCATCTCATTTCCCAATTCATCTCTTCTCTTGTCATGTGGTGAATTGTGCTTCCCACTCCTTTGGCTTGCTGAATCTTCTATTGCATCACCTCTCTTGCTCCTGGGTGAACTTTCCCTTTGATCCCTTGCCTTATCTCTCAGTGTGTCATGTTTCCCATGTCTTCTCTTGTCCCCTGGTGAATATCCCCTCTGATCTCCTCTCTTGTTCTTTGGTGAATTTTGCCTTTGATCACCTTTCTTATCACTAGGAATTCCGCTTCCTTTATCTCTTCCCTGGTACTTCAATGTATCTTCCCTTTGATGTCTCTTCTCCTTGGGTGAGTTTTCCCTTTGATCTTTCCTTTTGTCCATTGGTGAGTTTTCTCTATACCTACTGTGTTTATCTTGTATTAAGTCATGTCTAGCATCTTGCTTTTTATGGGTTAAGTCTTGTCTCTGATCTGATCTCACACTGGCAGAATATTTTCTCTCATTTCCTCTACTATTGCAGGGGGAATCTTTTCTTCTGCTTCTTGATGAACTTCCATGCCTGTCATAAGATGAATCCTGTCTTCTCCAGCCTAGAGGGCTGGGTCCTCTTTTCTGTACATACCTTCCATCTTCTCGGCTGCTTCCTCCCTTACTATATTTCTGCTCCCTTTTCATATTTCTCCCCTCAAGACTCTGCAGGAGACAAGGTTTTCTTCTACAATAATAAGCATAACTTGATAGCATTCAGAACCTCACCAACACTTCAGTTGAAACTAAGGTATATTAGTACATCAGACTGATCATCAAATACACATCCTTGAGCACCTGCAGCTTACTTCTGTTCACAATTACAGGAATGTTATGATAAACTAGTGATTCTACACAACAGGAGCTAAAACACTACAAAGTAAAAGGAAGCCAAGGGCCTGATGATACAACATTTTCTTAATTGTTTGCACTCTACTTTAAATAAAACAGCAAAGCAACAAATAGGCACTTGTCACCAAAAACCAAATACAGAAAACATTAGTTCCAATCTGCTGTAGATATTAACATTCAGAAATTTTAAAACTAAACTGAGTTTGTAAGAGAAGTGGAAGAGGGTGAATATTTGTGACAAACTAGGTTTGATGATGGATAGAAAAAGTGAATTATACGATGTTTAAAAGAGTCTGTCAATGTAGTGCAAAGGGTTAAGCAATGTAAATCTGTTTTGACTTCAAATGTATGAGTCAGTTCTAAAAAACTTATCAGGTGCTTCACTTCAGTTAAGTGATGCTGCTCTTTGCAGTTTATAGAGCTCTCATTACCAATATATTTTCAAACTTTTGTCTGACTTATTGTGAGTTCATTCATGTTGGGGGAGTGTTCCACTTCTGCATATGAGCCTATCTAATGCAAGGAATGCAACATGCAATATTTAACAACTTTCCATCAACAACTAAAAGTGCACTTTTTGCCCTCAACCTCCCACAGCATGAGATATGATATTTAGGCATTAAAGGAAAATTGTTTGTATGTGATATGCTTGTAGATTTTCCAAAAAATATGAGAATCAGTTTCTTGAATTTCCAGATCAGGGTTAACCCCATGTGGAGAGGCCTTCAGGCAGAGGAGGGAGGACTCACTTGATGTTTCTGTCCTCTTTTCTCCTTTTCCTTCTTCAAGGATGCCTTCAAAGTATGGATGTAAGCCTGAATGTTCTCCTCCTCTGCCCTTCCTCCACTCTGCTTACCTTTTCCTCCACTGTACTCCACCCCCTTCCCTGTCACCATTCCACATTCAGCAAGATAAATCTTAAAATACATGGGAAATGGGAAAAATGGGGAGTCCATGAGGACAAAAGGCAAAGGATGTACAGGGTGACAATAAAGTCTGTGGACACATATTTTTGTATTTATCTCTGAGTAGATTGAAGCAAATGGGTTTCTTTTTTTTCTGCACAAAGAACCTACTTAGAGTGACCAACAATTTTATTTATGTTAGTCCTTTTGAAATCCCGCTATGCCTCAAGTCCCTGTGACCTCTTTAGTTATCGGTATGTTATCGGTCGATGACATTTCATTGCGGATGGTTGAATGGAGAAAATTTGTTATCATGTCATTTATATTTCTTTGTCAAGACTGAAGCAAGCCAGGCAAAGCTCTGTGACTCTTCCCCCTTATTTTTTTTCCTCTTCCAATCGATCGTGTTGAAGTTTGACCTCGTTCCTCGCTTGTTCTTCAAGTGAAACCGCATTCTCTCCAGACTGAAGTTAATCTGTCATAAATTCACCTTAAAATCATTTACGACGAAATGGACATGGACATTGAAATAATGAGAAAACTTATTTAAATTTTTGAATTTAAACATACTTCAATATACAAGAAAATGAAACCATTCGAAAAAAATGTCAGTGCTGCATACAGATCATGTGTATCACTCAGGTCTGAAAAATAATTTTTTTTTGGCATCCATCGTGAGTTTACAATTTGAGTTTACAAGAGTATAAAGATATGTAGGATCCATGGGCAGAGAGAGGTACAAAAGGCCATTATGTAGCAGCTTCTTGATAGACTTCGACTCAAGACGCACGAGTTGAGAGAACGGGGCACGAGCCGTGCCCCGTTCGACTTAATCCGTCAGCCTCTCATTCTAACCGAACTCACTTCTTCTGCAATGTCTCGGTTCTGATATTTTCGGGGCGTTTCATTCTTACAGCATTGCAAGTTGCAGAAGAAGACAAAAACAACGAAATCACCAAATACAATTTGGTGATCCTCAAAGGAGGCGAGAGGTACCCTTCTCTTCGCCTTGCCTCACAATGCTATGCCGAAACCAGTTCGAGTTTCGTCGCTTCATCACTATTATTGTCCTCCTGCAAGAAACACACATCAGGGGCCATGCGAAACATGGTTTGCCCACATTCATCAGGCCAGAGCTGAAGGACTCAACCTTCCAGCTACCCGAAAGAAACGAGGACTTTGCAGTTGGTATCCGAATCGGTGAGTTGACCATGTACAACGTGCATAAGCCACCAAATCGGCTATGGCCCTCGTCAGTGCTGCCGTCGTCCAAGCACCCGTCGGTCTTCCTCGGAGATTTTAACAGCCACCACAGCCTGTGGGGCTACTCTTCGAGTGATGCCGCAGGCGAGCAACTCACCGAATGGGGCTCGACGCAGGATATGCACCTCCTGTTTGACGGTAAGCAGAAAGGAACTTTCCGCTCAGCTCGCTGGAGTGGAAGTGGCATAACCGTTCAAGATGAACGGTTATGCCACTTACATCACTTCGGCATATCTTCTTGGCATCGAGTCAATCAGACGCATCTTTCAGCAGGAATGTCATGCCAAGCTGCTTCAATGGCCGCCATCAATTCCTTCCGATTGAGCTGGCCAATCTAAAACGGTGATGTGATGCTCCTCGAACCACTCTTTCGCACGCCGACTGTATGTTTAGGGTCATTATCCTGCTGTAAGATGAAGCCACGACCCATTTCGCGCCTGGCATATGGCAGCATCATGATGTCCACGTAGACGTGCTGATTCATAATGCCTTCAATTCGATTAATCGGGCCCGTGCCGCGTCTGCTCATTGCACCCCAGACCATCACCGATCCGCCGCCTCCCTTGACCGTCGCTTGCGTGCACTTTGGCAGGGCTTCCTCGCCCGGGCGACGACGAATGTACGAGCGACCATCTGATCCAAACCGGTTGAACTTCGACTCGTCTGTGAAAAGTACCTTGTGCCAGTCCTTCTCGGTCCAAGACAGATACTTGCGGGCAAAAGAAAGACGTGCTCTGCGATTTTTTGCTGAGAAGTGGGTTCTTGCGTGAAACGCGGCCATTCAAACCAAACTCTTGCAGTCTTCGACGCACTGTTCTTATGCTCAAATTGTAATCTGGATGGGTTTTCATCTCTGCATGGATAGTGACGGCAGTCTTGTGTCATTCTACTTCACATAGTCGATGAATCATACGATCCAACTTGGGCGTGCTTTTGCGCTTCTTTGTTGCTCGTAGAACGTTGTCAACGGTGCCACACTTCTCGATATGCTTCAGAGCATTTTGGACCGCACCAATTTATATCGATAGTTCGCTGGCAATTGCGTGTACCGTCAGTCCGTGCCGTCGAAGTACTTGAACTTGGGCAGGTTGGGTTGGTGGGTTGCACTTCGCTCGTGCCATCTTCGACCACGTGTTGGACGATTAAATGTGGATGACAAGGAACACCTCTATCTAGTTTTATCAGCTGAACTCGCACATAACTAAAAACTCGTTTCCAAATTCCACTTTCACGTTTGTATTTAAAAATATGGCCGCACCATTTCTGTACTGACTGCGCTTATTTGGCAAAATCTCCACTATTAATGATGCGATCGGCATGGACCTTCTTGAATTCCTCGATCATCATAGTGCGTTACTAATCATCAACGTCCAATGTTGTTAAGTGACCGATCACCAGTCGCGAAATGTCGGCAATTGTCTGTATTTAAGTATATGGCCGCATTTGTACATCTCCCAGCAACGACAACCGTCCTGGGCAGTTTTCCCCACAGACCAACCGTGCTGCGTATCGACCTGGAGATGCCCGTCATATTCAGCGTCCCAAAGCCACACTGGAATCTGAGACTGGTTCACCGAACCGAACCGTTCACCGAAGCCGTCGAGAAAACGATCGGCAATGTCCCACCGCAACTTGGATGCTTCGATCGATTCGCGAAGTTACTCATGAAGGCCGCAAAGAAAAACATCCCTCACGGCTACCGATTCTCATTTACTCCATGTTGGAGCAAGGAAAGTGAATCCCTCCTAAGGGAATACGAGGCTACCAACGACCCCGACATTGCCACTGCCTTACTGGAGTCACTGGACTCCGAAAGATGGAAGGACGGGAGATGGGACGGAAAAGATGGGAGGAGACGGTTGAAAACACTGACTTCACTCATTCCAGTTGGAAGGCGTGGAACCTGCTGAGGAGACTTGGCTCCTCTGCGCTGGCAAAACAAGGAGCTCCTCAAGTGACCGCGAACTCCATCTCAGCCCAGCTATTGAATACTAAGAAACTCGAAGGCTGCCGCGGACCGAAAAACAAAGAGGAAGGTCAACGAAGCCCACCGACAAGATATCAAGATGCAGCCCTTCATCAAGTATCTCTGTTCCTTTCACCAGAACAGAGATTGATGCCGCTATCTCCGCCCTCCATCAAGCAGAGCGGCCGGCCCAGATCAAATCCCGGATTTCCTAAAAAAAAAAAAGCTGGGCCCCAAAGGAAGAGATTGGTTGGCGGCTCTTTTCACGAATATTTTGCACTTGGGCAAGATACCAAAAGCCTGGAAGAAAACTCAGATTATCGCTGTTCTGAAGCCTCACAAACCGGCCAATGACCCACCCAAAGAGTTTTTGCCCGATATCACTCCTCTGTATAGCTTACTAACTCCTAGAGCGTGCAATACTGACCCGTATCACACCTGCTCTAGAGAATGTACAGGGTGACAATAAAGTCTGTGGACACATATTTTTGTATTTATCTCTGAGTAGATTGAAGCAAATGGGTTTCTTTTTTTTCTGCACAAAGAACCTACTTAGAGTGACCAACAATTTTATTCATGTTCAATGTAGCCACCCTTGGCCTTAGCAACATTCCTCAAACGTGTGATGAATAATTCAGCTGCAGCTCCCAACACTTCTTGGGGTGTTTCTACCCAAGATTTATTCTAGGAGATGATGAGAGGCTAAGCTCCTGTGGGGTTTGCAGCATGCCTTCTGCTCTAGTATGGCCCAAATCGAGAAGTCCATAGAGTTTAAATCTGGTGAGCTGGAGGGCCATTCATCAGGGCTGATAATGTCTGGAAAATCAGTTTGGAGTCATTGAATTGTGACGCTGGATGCATGTGAAGGTGCAGAATCCTGTTGGAAAGTCCAAGCTTGGTCCCCAAAGGTCTTAGCTGCCCAAAGTTGGGCCACAGCTTCCAGAACCTGCCGGCAGTAGTACTCCTTGTTCACCTCAACCCCTGGGGAACAGCATGAATGGGAGTTTTGTGCTCAGCAGTTACCCAACCAAAATCATGATAGATTTGAGATTTTGAACATGCTTCCAGAAGCAGCCAGGGTGGTGCTTGTTCCAGAGCCAGAAGTGATAAATTTGGCGATTGAAATGCTGAGCTACAGTGAAGATCTTCTCGTTGGTAAAGAGAATTTTCTCCCATCCCTTGTGACTGAACCTCTTGAGTAACACTTTCGCTTTTTGCAGCTTGGCTTGCTGCTGTGCAGGGGTTTGCAGCTGCACCTTTTGAACCTTGTAAGGCTTCAACTTTAGCCTGTCTTTGGCTATCTTTCGAGCATACTCGCTGCTAATGCCAAGGGGGGAGGCAACAGAATGCATGGAGCGGTTGGGGTTACGTCCGAGCAGTTGCGGCATACATTTCCTGACCTTGGGGGCATTGACAGTTGCTGGGTGGCCGCTCCTGGGGTAGTCAAAACTTATAACAAGCTCCTTGAAGCGTTTCACTGCCTTGTAGATGCAGGACCATGGCATACCAAGAAGATGAACACATTCTGCATCTGACTTTCCAAATTTGTAGAGTCCGGTGATGGTTTCGCACTGGTATAGCCTCCTGAGGTTTTGCATAAAATAGTTGAAATTTTGGGATCTAGTACATGACAGCATCGCCTATGCGCATGCAAAAAATTGCATTATTTGGTTAAAATGGTAGGGAGAAAATGCACTGTCTACAGACTTTATGGTCACCCTGTATATTGACATTGCCTCCTGACTGAATGCCAGACATTTCTTCTGAAGCTTCCCTGAAAAAATTGGGAAAATTGCAGAGACAATGAGATCTCTCTCATACATTTATGAATAAATCTTGTTAAGGTCAAAATGTTTCATCATCTCAAATTTCAAAATCTAGGTCATCTTTTGTTCATGATTAACATGATGAATCCTGCTTTGAATTTCTGCATGAAGTTAGCAAATTTGCATAGAAAAAGAAAATTAAGATGTTTATACAAGGGTAAATCAAAAAGTAAAAGGAATTTTTATTTATTTATCTCAAGACAGTAGCCTATTCTTGTTGAAACAGGTTAGATTGTTTACTTAACTATCAGTCAATTCAACAATCAACAATAACACAGTTTAGTAACAGTTTTGATCTAAGTGAGCCTTATACTAGTTTTTTTGATTGTTGCATTTTTAAAATGGCTTGGCCACACATTGCTTCCCTGACTATAGAGTCTCTACAGGATTTGAACTTCAAAGTTCTAAGACATCCTCCCTACAGCCCATGCTCCATCAGACTTCCACCTCTTTGGGCCACTCAAAAATGCTCTAAAAGGTCAGCGATTTTCCTGCAACAATGAGGTAATGGATGCAGTGCAAGCATGGCTTCAACAGCAACCGAAATAGTTTATTCTGGCAGGATCAACAATCTGGTAAAGTGGTGGGAAACTTGTGGAATGAAGTCCAGAGATTATGTGGAGAAATGTGTAAGCCTGTATCATTTCTGAATCAATATTCATAAGAAAATTCCCTTTACATTTTGATTTACCCTCATATGTACTAGGCAAATAGGACTTGCTCATTGTCTAAAAGTATACTGTAAGGTTATCCATTTTCTTGAATGAAGGAAAAAATCCATTACATACAATACCTTTTCCCTTCCACCGGAGCTTGGCAACAGACTGGCTGAAGTCAACATGAATGCGACGATCATCAATGAGGACATTGTCCATCTTGAAATAGGCATCTTCACATGCCTGTGGGGCCTCAAACTCAATGAATGCATACTGGAGCGAATTCCCCGTCTTCTGGTCCCGGATCACTTCACAGCTGCAGCATTTCAACAAACATGTCTTCTGACAAGAAACTCTCTTTAGAATTACTTTTCTACACCTGATTTTCTTTTTTCATTTTTAAAAGTTCTTCTAAGGCTTGGCAATGGCACTCTTCTTGGCCTCCTTAACAGTTTCAATGCCTCTTAAAAAATAAAATTGAGGCTTTAATTGATCAAGTAATTTAAATTCCTGTGCATGTCAATCCATCAGTGTGCCATTATGATCAATACTTATGACATAATTCACATATTTGTAGTTCCACTTCCAAGCTACAAATGAAGCACACTATTGCTGGCTTTGAAAATACTCTAAGCAAAAAAAAAAAAGAATTAAAATATTTATTTTGAAACTGAAACCACCAAACTCTCCTACAGGAGTGTGAGTCAGAGGATCAGAGGAGTCTTTGTTGAGCTCTCTCAAGACACTAAGTGGTAAATACCCTCAATCCCACAAAAATCCTAAAATAAATTTCCCAGGCTTTTCCAGATTCTTAAAAATTTTAATTTCAGCATGATCTTTGCCTTACCTGCAGCATCATCTACTTCTTCCAATTCAGCCAACCACAAGTAGATGGTTTCATAAAAACTGCTCTTTTCCCTGACTAAAATATAATTTTAAAAAACTATTTCCTTTCACGTTACCGCAACTTTTTGATCCCATTTCTGTTTCTTTTAGTTTTTCAAGTTTTCCAGGCCTCAAGAAAACTGGGTTTGTGACAAAAAGTCTTAGTGTCCTATTTTTGCAATGGAGAATTTAGGCCTAAAATTCTCTAGAAACAGCAAAGTTCAATCTTATTTGAAGATGTGAGATAAAGGCCATTGAAAATGTGAAAGATGCACAAATTTGGGCAGTAAACACCTATCTTAAGACTATGAAGAGAGAGCCCTAAGTGGGTTTAAAGACTCATCTAGATGCACCCCATCAATCTACCAATTATCAAGTTTTTCTGTCATTGATGCTGAATATTTCAGAATACTCCTTGAATGCAGACTGGAGATGTACAAAATAAAAATTTGTAATTTTAGAGGAAAAAAAATTGCAGCATTCAAGATGCCTGAACCTGATGAAACATTAATCATTACTTTACTGAGTCCCGGTGGGACTCAGGAGTCCCACATTTTCTTAGCATATTTTATAGAGTTACACAGGAATACACAACCTTGAGGCCATGGCAGGATTTTAAGTCCCAGTTTAAAGTAGTTCACCTCATGTTGTCAAATTGACAGCAGTCCACAGTAATATGAAGCTGCTGTAATATGAAGCTGCTCCAGCACTTCAAAAACGGTGTCATCTTTTGCATTTATTTCAGCTAATACATTTCTTTCCCAGCAAATTTTTCTGTTTTTGCAAGCTAGATAATGCAAAGTAGTACAGGAATGCTAGGAAACATACAATGTAAAATAGGGAAATGAGTACTAGCAGAACTAATTAAATATAATAATTTTATTTACTAATTTAAAATTTTTAAAAATAATTTAATAAATGTTTATTTTATATAAGGAAACCATTTTCAAAGCACATACATTTCCTATGAGCCTTGTTGAAGCCCAAAAAGTACATGACATATTTTTTAAATGCCATAAATCAGGACTGAAAGCGTTAAAAGAAAGTGACTCTTCAGAGCTTCCACTTTCCAATAAAGCCAGTTCCATAAAAATCAGTAGATAGCTTCAGAAGTTATAGGTAATCAAAGTTCAGATATTTTTGCTACATTAGACTCTGCCACAGTCTTATAAGGATCCATTAAATGAAAATTAATCAGTGTAGGAAGCTGACATTATGGCTGTAAGGTATCTGTATCAATGCATTTAAAAAACTCATCCTAAGTATCAAAGGTTACAGTGTCAATGTGCTTTACTTACATTATGTGTAGTGGACTAGAATGATTAGGATCTGTAAATTTGATAAACAGCCACTGCTAAAGTTAACGTGAACTATAACTAGTAGAGGAGCAAATGGCAATAGGGTAAGTTAGAAGTTGGTTTCAATCAGATAATGGCATCAATGAGTCACTTTGCAACCCATATTGGTATCATATCTGTGCCAATGGCAGGTACGTATGTTTTGCATTGAAATGGAATAAATAAGATAAGTTGGTTACTGACCTAAAAATGATTTTGGTAAGTGATAGTTTATATTTGACAAAATTTAGGAATATTGAGATGCCAATTTTTTTATTTTCATGCTGGCTGTAACATTTCTGTGGGTTCAAGAGAGTGCTGCCAATAATTTTGCATAAAAAAATGTGCCCAATGAAAAAAAAAAGTTGAGAACAACAGGCTTAATGGATTAGGTGTATCATGCTGGGAAGATACTTTCCTGCTGAGGTTTTCCTTCATTAACACTCCTAAATAGGCTTAGTAATTAAAGGGAGTGGCAGAAGGTGATGAGTGTTTCAGGGCATTGCTTTTCTTCTTCAATCAGCCATGTATACACACCAGAGTAACCAGAATGGTGTAGTCAGAAGTTGATAAAGAATATTATGATTTACAGAAAGCCAATGGGAGCAATATCTATGAATATTTCTTAATAATATATTTGGCACAGCCTGAACCATAAAAGGCAAGACAAGAATGGAAGTCTTTAACAAAATCACCTATTCAGAATGTACATACTTTTACCATGTGTATCATATTATGGGCAAAACCACATTGTTCTAAATCATTTTGAGTCTTTGCTTCCTGCTGTCAGCTCATGAATTCCATAGTACCATTTCTGCAAATCCTTTGTAAGGCTCACATCTAGATAGAGTCATCTCAGGGGAGCTGAAAACTTCAAAGAATGAAGGCAAAGTTAAGATGGTCACATTCTAACAGACGACATATTCCATATCCTTGTGTAAATTACCATTCACAATTCCATACTGTCAGTTTCAAGTGTTACTTCTGAACCTTCACATACAGCATGTAATGCTATAACTTTCAAGTCATTTCTGGCTGGTCTTGGCATTTCAGCTCACAGGGTGTAGGGCTAGTCTTGACAAGTACAATTGAAGGTGCTTTGTAGTGAGCCAATTGTATTGGTACTTGGTTCCCTAGCATGGGAATGGGACCAGAGTGTTTTTGTGACACAATGGTTTAATGCCACAGGCACATGTACCAATTGCACCAGATTTTAAACTAGTATGTGTGTGCATCTCTGGTTTTCTCATGAATGGCATCCAAAATGTTTTTTTATTATAAAAAAAAATGTACCAAAACAGTCAATGGTTTATGCTCTTACATGGGAGTAGGATAGAGAGCATCCATTACAAATGATGCTCTATGTTATAAGTGTTACAGTGGAGCGATATGGCTGGGAAAAATCCACCTTATGACATGATCCCTTTGTTACTTTCTTTATATGTAAGAGCAAACTCTTTCTAGCAAGGATAAAAAATCAGGTAAAATAAATGGAGGGAGAATGGAGTTCCACAAAAGTGCAATATACCTGAGGATGGTTCCAAACCGGCTGAAGATGATCTCTAGATCATCCTCACTCGTGACTGGGTTCAGCTTGCAGACAAATAGGACATTGTCTGGAGGTGCTGCATCCACATCAGGCAGGTCCCCAACCATCTCAAGGATGGTGGCCCGTGCTCGTGCCTCCTTTGCCTCAATTTCCTCTTGCAGTTCCTCCAAGGTCTTCCCCCGGCCATCAAATATCTCCTCATCCACTGCAATCCTGCCACTCTGGCAGAGAAAATCTTACCTCAGTTCCATCAGGTCACTCAATGTGAAAATATAGGGATCAACTGATTTAGATAAATGATGAATGAAGCTGACAAATAAAACAGGCCATTCTTCTTTCACCTCTCATTATCACTTTTGATAATCTTTATAATTCTATAGGAATAGGAGCAATAGGACACCATATCCATGGTGAAATAAAATGGAACTCTCTTATGGAGGCATGTGTCAAAAACAAAATGAAAATATTTTCTTTAATGATGCAGAGGGACATTGGAATCAGAATCAGGGAAAGACAACTTATGAACTACTGAATGTAATGAGGGAGGAGCTATAATTGCATAACCAAACATATTCAACTCAACAACACAGGGAGGAAAAAACTTCCTAGGCTAATATTGCCAAAAAAAAGCTAGAAGTTTCTGTATGAAGACTTAATCTCCAAGTTGCAAAGTTCCAACACACTTACTAATCATTTTTTTTTCTAAATTCCTTAGTCTTGCAGAGGGCATTAAAAGGAGGAATCATAAACTTTTTTCACCATCTCCAATAACCTTTTTGTCATAATAGAGGATGGCAAATGGGCCTATGATTCCACTTGCAGAGTAAATGAAAAATATGCAACCTTAACTGTAGAATGACCAAGGGGCTCATTGGACCCAAAGGTAGAATCTTCCAAAAATTTTGATAATTTTGCTGAAAATGTAAACAAAATGTAACTGTCCTCTGCATCATCCTCTATCTTTTCCAGACCAACTGTGCTCAAAAATATTTTTCATGGGTTCAAATCCTCCCCTTTCTTGCCAGTATAACTTGAAAAAATGTTGGAGGGAAGGTACCAACGATATTCATGGACAGTGGCGTAGCGAGGGGGGGGCTGGGGGGGGGCTTCAGCCCCCCAAGTTTGGTTCAAGCCCCCCCAACTCTGGTCGAAATGCGTCCGCCCCAACCTGACAAGGCGAAGTTAGCCCCCCCAACGTTCTGCTTAGCCCCCAATTAGCCCCCCCAACTTTCCACTCAGCCCCCCCATTGACGAAAACCTGGCTACGCCACTGTTCATGGATAAGAAAGTTCAAAAGTAACTAGTTACATTCTGCAGAACATAACTACTGAAACCTGATTTTAAAATATGTAACATGTTCCTTTTGTATTACTTTTTTCCTTTAAAGTCATGTATTATGCTATAGTGGTATGCAATCAAATCAGGAGACATCATATTAACACTGAGTGTTAAGGGAACATGATGTTGGCATGACTTTGGAGGAAAGCCAAGCTTTCATATTTTACACATATGCATAAGCATCAGAGCATTGGCATTGATTTTTCAAAACAAAGATTTACAAAACACTGGGAAAGGTACCTGCAAAAATTACTTATTACAAAGGAAAGTAATGCATACATTAATGAAATTACTTGTAATATAACTCTCCCTAATATAGCATGCTCAGTAAAGCTCCAGATTTACTTTCAGAATTTCATTTTAATTTTAGGTAATTTTTGTAGGTGTAGCTGATCCCCTGAAACATCTATTCCTAAGCAGATGAGGCATATATATGGGGATGGGGTGCTCAGAGGTCAAGAGGAAGTTATCAAATCAGATTGCTCTATCATGCCATCATTCAAGGTTGTTTCACGATTTTTTCCCCCCCTGATTTTGACTTCTTATTTTAGCATTCCCATACATCACACATTTGAATTTCACATATTGAAGTTTATAAGTGCCATGCAACTCACAAATGCATCAATTAGGGCTAATATTAGGAATTACTTATTGTTATCAGAATGCAAGAAAAATGTAAGTATGCCTTAGTGCTCATGTCCTCACCTCGAGCATCTCTGTTGTGGGTTCAGGAGACATGTCAGGATATTCCAAACCAGTTGGATCATCCAGAGGATCATCCAGAATCACAGTATGGGTGATTCTGCAATGAAAAAAATTCTTGATATGCAATAAGTTCTAGATTGTAAGATATTTGAAAGGATTGGTAGGCTTAGAAAATGGTTAGATTTTCCTGAGAACAAAAAATAAAAGGTAATACTCTTCATAGGACAATCAAAACATGCAAAACTAAATTTTAAAAAATTGCCTCATTAGCAGCATATAGGCACAACAGTGTTTAAAAAAAAGTCATTTCTGCCATCTTTTAAAAAGTTTCAAGATATTTTGAGAAATAAAAAAAAAAACATTCCTTTACCAGAAAAAAAATTTTCTGTAGTGTCTATCAACACTTATGATGACATCAGAAATGCAAGCTCATGAATAATAGTGGGGATCAAAAAGAAAACTCCTGGTCAGAAGTGATGCTATATTCTGGTGAAAAATAATTGAATATGTCTACCTAATATCTTTGTAAGGCCTCCATTCCTCATCACAGATGGCATCATTGAGTTTGAGAATGACATCCATGCCCTCAGCCACCTCCCCAAACACTGTATGAACACCATCAAGGTAATCAAGGTCCTCACCTAGGGTGAGAAAGAACTGGGAACCATGCCTGGAAATATCAATGTGATCATTATGAGATGTGACCAGAAAACTTAAGAAATTCACTCTAGAATTCTTTGTGCATAGGAAGCTAAGTGATTCTGGAGTGCCAAAAACATGAAGAAAAAGGCTTAGCTTACATGTTGCTACCATTGTTGACCATCGAAATGGTGCCCATCTTCTTGTGCTTCAACTTGGGTTTGGTCTCAGCTTCAAAAAAGCGAGCTTGGCTCCCATATAACATCCTATTTGCATCAAATGACAGCTAAAATTTATGCACTGACCAATGTCTTATTATTGTTTTATTTATTACTTTTTTTTTTTTTTTAAAGAAAGGAGACATGAAGCCACGCACTCAAAGACTGCCGCTCCACCTCTTCCAGTCCCACTTGGATCCCCTGTCTGGGCAATGAACCCCCGTTGGACGAAGTGGAAGAGGCTGAAATTGTAGTACTTCAGTTTGCACAGCTTCAAGAAGTTTAGGCATGCTAAAAAAAAAAAAAAAAAAAAAACAAAAGAAATGCTACTGAGCCCCTGGGATAAGATCGCGCCCTCGAACACAGACCCAGCCTGTAACAGGCTGGGCCTGTGATAGACGAGGCCAAACAGCAACTTTACGCCACAACTCACTTCGAGGTCTTTCCTTTAAGTAGAGATCAACGGTTATGTCTCCGAGGGTAGTTTCAATCACAACAGACATTATCGAAGACACCGACAAATATCACGTCTCACATCAGGCTTAATTTGGGGTCCTAAACCTGCGTTGTCTGCCCCTCGTGTTGCGTTGAAAGTTCGCCTCCATGCTCATTGAAACGTCATATGTATCGTCCGCTTCTTTTCCTGACATCTGGTGGAAAAGGGGAAGAACGAGAGTTCTCTTCGGGGAGAACAGAGAACGACGAGTGATCCGTCTGTCGCTGGTGTTCGGGTAAAAGTTCAGAACTTTTATTCATTTTCCCTGCTGTATTGACATTCTTCCCCGACCGAAAACTGTTCATCGTCTTCAAGGCCCTTTCTGTCTATTTTCAAGATATTTACCATTTATTGACAGAATTCGCGAGTTGCCGTGTGTGTATGTTTGACCTAAAGTTATATCAAATTGTTCAGTGAGCAGTAGATGAGGCTTATATAATAGAGGCCTATAATAATTGACGGGCTACAGGCATTTGGTTCTAAGCTCTCCAAGTTTTCAAGGCATTAGAAGCTCAAGAATCAGCATCTGAAGCCAGAGTTGTACTTTGCACGAAAAATTAAGCGTTGACCCCACTCGTAATTCATTTCAAGTCATGCCTTCCTTATCTCCCAAGGAAGTCCTAGACCAAAACTACTTGGTCCGGGCAATGGATATAAGATTCAAGCAGTGGCGGCTCGTGATATTTAGCGCTAGTGGTTCGTCTATGGAGAGGGGGTAGGCAGCGCCCTCCCCTGCCTACCCCCTCTCCATAGACGAATCACTAGCGCTAAATATCACGAGCCGCCACTGGATTCAAGCCAAGCAAATGGAAATTCTAAGCATCTACAGATACGAGGATCCTGTGACTAAAATTTTCCTTCTTGATGACACATCCGATGAAACTGTGAATTCCATCTTTATATTTTGGAATTGCAAGATCTGGATTAGAGAGGCTTCTCTAACACTGTCATTGCAAAAGCAAACAGGGTTCTTGACAAACTCAAGCGAGATTTGAGCAAAGCCTCAAGCAACAAATCCGTGAATGGTGAATCCGATAGGAAGCTAATGCCTGCTGGAGGATGTCAGCAGTGATGAGCAACTTATTTCCTAAAAGTAACCAGTTACAGCCACAAGTGCTTGGTTAAATAAATAGTCATAAGTAAAAGTTACTGCCAATAGAAAGTAACTGCGCAATGCTTCAGTTATGAGGCTACTTTTCGGGATTTTTCAAACCTGTCTATTAAACAAGCAACATCAAACAAACAACAATCTGACAAGTGAATCCATACCAAAAATGTCATCGTTATTGCATGAAGTCAACATTGCATGGAAGCAAGACCTGGTTCTCAAAGTTCCCGTTGGATATCCCCCTATAAACTGAAGATGGTAAGCAAAGGAACGTTGAATCCGTTGCTATGATGAATGCAACTCATTTTCCTATATTGACTGAAGTTCAGATTAATAATTATTCATAGAAGAATTGAAAATGGAAAAAGTTTTTCCTGGGAAGTTCATGGAGAAATAATTGTTCCGCGAATTGTTAACATTTTAAAATTTTACACAGCGCCACTTTCGTCCGCTTGTTCTACGGCAGTAATGACTCCCTAGAGGGCTACAAGAAACCAGCGACAGCAGGCAACGAAAAAATATCGTACTACATAACCATGAACTTGAAAAACAAGCTACAAATAGTGCATTGTGGAAGAAAAAAGGACACCACTCGTTCCTAAGGAAAGGTAACTCATTACAGTAACTTCCGTTCCTTTTTGGCAAACAAATGATTTATTTCTGTTATTTGTTAGGTACAGGGTGGCGCAAAAAAAAACCGGTCCACTTTTTAAACTGGTCTAGAACAGGAACTATTGAAGCTTACCCTTACATACGCTTACACTTACTTACAGCTTACACTTACACGGTTTCCAAATGTTTCTTTGCTCATTTGTTGGGTGAAACAATTGGACTAAAAGTAGGACAGGTTAAGAGAGTGATGATAAAGGCTTTCAGTGAACCAGAGAGACTGCAAGCAGTGGTGGACCAGAAAGGAGGACACATTGAACATTTCTTGAATAAATAAAGGTTAGTTGAGGTGGAACAATCATTTTACTACTTTTTTGGGGGGTATGATTTTTTCAATTGACCATGACAGCCATTCCATGGCACCCATGGACAAAAAACCATACATCTTTGGAAAGGGCTTGGATTGAACATTCATGTGCTTTTTTTTTTAACCTGCTAGCTTCAATAGTTCCTGTTCTAGACCAGTTTAAAAAGTGGACCGTTTTATTTTGCGCCACCCTGTATAACAAGACGTAATTCGTTACTCGGCAAAAGTTTTTTTCAAGAAAATATATCGTTTCAGTAATGCGTAATTTTTCTCAGATACTGTCCATCGCAGAATATAAGTAGAATATAAGGGTTCAACCGGTATGCAAGTTAGTCACAAACCAAGCACGGCATGAACACATAAAGGCCGATGCACACTGACTGCGAAGTGTTGCGACAAAGCCGCACTGCGACAGTCTGCGAAGTTCGCAGTCATTTCTTGACTGCGACCGTCTGCGAAGCGTCATCCACACTGGTCGCAGAGCTCCCAAGCCAAATCAACCAGGTGTGTACAATTTGAGAGCTCGTGCTGCAACACTCTTGTTTTTTTTGTAGGTACAGTAGGTAGGTACGTCCTGCACGCAAATCCCGTCATCAGATGGGAGAATTCGAGGCCCTAAACT